TTCAGCCTGCAGCAGATCAAGCTGTTGACTACTTTCAGGATAACATTGAAGGACGGCACGCGCGCCACGTGAAAGACATGCATACAATGATCCAAAAAAGGTCCTTATTCGTCGAATCGGGTTGTGAGTCGCTTTATCCGAATTGAAAAGCCACTGGACTGCTGAGATGCTGATGGCGCCGTCAAACGAACCACTTCGGAAAGGCATGGGAGCCCCAATATCGCCCAAAACCAAATCACCTTCACATTCTCTTTCACGCGCTATATTTAACATAGCAGAACTGATGTCAATTCCAATCCATGTATGTCCGTTTTCCGTCAAGACTTCGCCACTTAGACAGGAGCCACATCTGAACACTTGTTAAAGTCTCCAAGCTGTCCTACCCGATGTCTAAAAGGATAGCAGGTTCATCTTCTGGAAGGGCCAGCAACTCCAAAGCTCTCTCAGAAAGTTTTGTTTGTATATCTATTATATGTGAGCTATATAAGTTAGCAAAGAAAATGGAAAGGCATACTTGGATGTGTACTTCATGGCCTCAACCTCATTATAAAACTATGTCCAAAAGTTTAATTTATAAAATAAATTACGATTTCAGGCGGACCGGTATGCTCCGGTCGTCTTGTATGTGACATCTTTTACAACAGAATAACACGAGCTCCAAAGTGGTTCTGCGCGGCGGACAACGCGGCTTTTTATCTTACGCGGTTCATATTTTGCACAGTCAAACCTACCTATGGTTAGGCCAGTAGAAGCGAAAATCTGAGAAGCTCCCTGTGGAATCAAGGACCCGTTCATAGTCCAAGCTTTGTAGTTTTCACTACCAGGCGAACATTAAAAAATGTTCAACAGATATGTGGAAAAGGGTATTCGGGGCAGGGCGCCTAGCGAAATAATAACAGGAAATTTTTTTTAAAAAAAGCAAACAGTTCCTGTCCCTTTAAAAAATATGATTTAACTTGGAAATTTAAAAAAAGATGGGCAGCATTGCAACGATTTTGTTAACGCGTCACCTTAGGTAATAGGTTTATGAGATGAGTATTTGCTATTTTTATTGTTCTCAACTGCACAGGGCCGAGACCAATATCTTTATTACTGATTTGATAATATAGTGCAAATTAAACTTTTCTGAACCGATAACCTAAAGGCCCGAGAATGGCCCTAAAGTATAACACCTTTAAATTATTTACATTGACAGCTGTTGTATGTTAGCGCGGTTAGTTCTATGTTCCTCTCATTGCTGCCATTTCGGTCGAGGGCGATGTATGCTGTCAGCTTTCATATGTCATATGAGCTATACCTGTCATTGTTGCCAACATCTGATGCGCTACTGAACAGGATCTCGTTCTCTGAAATAGAGTCACCTATGAGAAGACCAGTTGGCCAACCACTGCTCTCACTGGGGATGTTCACCAGGTCTTCCTCTGTCGTGCATCGATAACTGTTTGATTCCTGCCTTATGTTAGCCGACCGTGAGGATGCTCCAGATCTTCTCTGACCGACCATAGTACGCATATTTTATTATCCTTATCCTAGTGCTAGTTAAATGAAGGCCATTACTGGCAGGTTCGCTGATTGGCCGGGCGTTGATAATGCCAGTAAGGACCTCTTTCTACCGTGTTCTCGTTAGCATCAAGCTGCCAAAATGCCAAAATGCCATCTTGTCGCCCACCCAGCATGGAAAACACCGGATCAACCTTAGTCAATTGTACACATAAACTTTTCTAACCCACTTATTTGAGTCTTTACCTTATCGTGGTCGACGGCTACACAAAGTGTCCTGATACCGCGCCGTCGAATCCGGCAACAACATTCGCCATTACGATTTCCATCGCACATTGTCGGCTAGTATGGCTTATTGGATGTTATGGTTTCGGATAATAGCTCCCAGTTATCGTCATCAAAGTTAGCATCAGCACAACATCCAGAATCATTAATCCCCGCCATACCACCGTGAATCTAACGATCTGGTTGACCGTTTTCCTGACACATCCAAGCGAGCCCTCTTGAAAGCTCGTGGGGAGAGGATCGTCGAAGATATAGACCAGGCGCCCTTGTTTTCTTTTAAGATTCCCCTTAACCCGACGCCTCTTGGTGGTGTAGTTCTGGGCGAATATTTTATAGGCCGTACAGTGCAACTGTCTCCTACCACCGTGAGGTCCTCGTAGTCAGTTTCCACTGCCTCCCGCGGCAAGTTTCCCGTTGGAACAGCCGTCAGCGTTCGCAACTATCGAGCAGCATGTTCAGACTGGACTGAGGCGGTAATAGCAGCGCACAAAGGAAGCATGTTGCTCGACGCTTGCGTCGGTTATGAGATCTGGGTTCGTCATCAAAATCAGAGCCCACAGCAGCAGTGCAGTAACCCATTTGGGACCAAATCAGGTGTACCAAGTCCTCTCGACATTTCGCCAGACACCTTTGCCAT